AAATGAGAACTAAAAGGCACAGCTGGGGGCGGGGGTTGAGCCATGGAGCTGCCTAGCCCTCCCCTGGAGACGGCTCTCACCAGCAGAGGCCACACTTGCCCCAAGCACTCTCCCTCCTCCTCCTCCGGGGCCCCGTCCCACAAGCAGTGAATGGTCCAGACCTGGGCCCCGTTCCATTCCATTCAGGGCACCTCTGAAGGGTCCTGGCAGCTCCAGAGAGCCTGTGTGATCTGTGGAGGCTTTACTGCAACTGTGTTACCATCCAATGTCTTCTGCCCAAACCTGCCTTCCCCAACTCACAGTGACCCTGTATAGGGTTTCTGAGGAGTAGCTGGTAGGGTTGCACTGCCGACCTTATAGGTAACACTCCAGCGCTCATCCTACAGTGCCACACACCAGGACTCCAAATTAAATACTGTTGTTGTTAAATGTCCTCTAGTAACTTCAAAAACTACTAATAAATGAAAAATACGGCCCTATACCGTATTTTTCCACAAATACAAAGGGGTTTTAAAAAGTTGGTAGGTAAACAGAATGAAAAGATAATTTATTTTTTCACCAACTTTTTGAAGCCCCCTTGAAATGTGTGCATTGAATGGTTTTATATGCCATGTAGCCCCCAGAGTGCATTCTTTTAACAGTGCGTCTTATACTTGCTGGCTTCATTTTGTTGCTGTTGTTCTTGTAAAGTCTTCATCTTGGGGCTTGTTGACACGGGTCTTTGGTCTCAGTAGCAGAATCTCACCAGCCTACGCTCAAGTTTCTAAAGCAGCCCCCTATCCCCACAGGATTTCTTCTCCGGTGCAGGAAGAAATCCCTTTTTCCCACCCAGGACAGTCCTGTTAGAGCAACCAGCCTCAGCCCAAGAAGCAGCCTGAGATGTGAGTGGTGTATTCATCACAAGCTGTATCAGAACTTGTTATCACCTATTGTATGTGCACACTATTTATGTTGGTGCCCTATCTTAAGGAAAATACGGAAATCCAGAAAACATAGTAAACCTCTATCAAATATTGTCCAAAGCTATTTTGTTTGGTTTTGAACCTCCTAACAAAAAACAATCTTGCCTTACATAAAAATAATGTGAGGACTACACTTTCCAGGGGATTGTTTGTCCAAATACTTTTATTCAAATCCAAGAATACAGAAAATGGCTTAAAGGCTCCCACTACAATTGACCAGAGAAGTCCTGGTGTGGCGCTGTGGGTAAATGCGTCAGACTGCGAAGTCGGTTTGAGCCGCGAGGTCGGTGGTTCAAGCTCACCAGCCTCTCCTTGGAAACCCTATACAGGACCACTGTGGGTCGGAACCCACTTGACGGCACTTAACAACAACAATTGACCAACCAAGTTCTGCCACAATTAACGCCAACAACACACTGAAGCATTTTTCAAAGAGATTACCTGTAACTGAAATTTAATCTCCAAGGGAAAACTACTTCCATGGATTCTACACAGTAAAAACTTCTCTCAGAATCGAGAAACTTTCAAAGCAACTGAACTACCCAAAGATAACACAAGGAACATAGCGGGAATGGAAAGGGGCAGCCTTAAATTAAAGATTAAAAAAACAGTAAATGGGAAAGTGTTTCTGCTAACACTTGACATTTCCTAAACAATGTTAATCTTCACTACTTAGACAGAAAAAAAGTGGTTACTTGTAGAGCTGAAGACAAACAAGGGTCTCAACCTCATCCAAAGCCTTTGTGATAGGGAGCATCTCTCAAAAAACATTCATTTTTTAAATTACATTTTGAGTAAGGTTCTTAAATGGACTCTTTCCAGCTCTGATCAGAAAGTCATTTTAGATGTTATACAGCTGGGTGCTAAGTACTTGAAGAAAAGTATGTTCTAAATGAACATTGCTGTTACTAAGTGTTGCTGAGTCCTAGTGTGGTTGTTGTTGTTAAGTGCCGTCGAGTCGGTTCCGACCCATAGCGACCCTGTACAGGGTTTCCGAGGGTGTAAATCCTTACGGGAGTAGAAAGCCTCATCTTTCTCCCGTGGAACAGCTGGTAGTTTCAAACTGCTGACCTTGAGATTAACAGCCTGATTTGTAACCACTATGCTACACTAGGATTACTAGGCATTAAACACACAGACACCAACAGCTTATATTCAGGAACTCAATGAATTCTTCAAAACAATTGTTCTTTGGTTCCATTTTGTTGAAATACTGCTTTTCTCATAAGGCAGCAAGACTGCAAACTGTGTTCTAAGTAAAGACGTAAAAGAACTCAGTCTTGTGACGCTGTCGTCTTAAACAAGATTCCCACCAACCTGTCAACGTATAAAACAGGCCGCAGAGAAATCTCAATCACGTATTTTTCTCAGGAACTCGAAACGTTCACCAAAGTAAATCATCTCCCCTTTTTCTTTTTAATATCCACAATAAAGGTTGAATGGAATGTAGTCCTTCCCCTTCACTTTAATCCACATGCTGTTTAACTTCATGGAACAGCAAAGATAAGAGTCCAATTTCCACACATATGAAACGTGGACACTTTAAAAACTGAGCACCTTCTAAACTGTCACTCATGTTTACACACTGTACCTCTCCTCTTCTCCTTACTTTCCATTCAATTGGTATCAAACCAATAATTAGGAAATACTGCCCTAGCATTACAGACAAGCATAACAGATTTTTTAATTGCAACAATTTCCATGAGATTTTTTTTGTTATTGCATTATATTCACACTAAATTGGGGGGGTAAAAAACCCTGTATCAATGAGAAAACATTTGAAGGGCAAAAATCCAACTGCTGGCTTTATTAGATACAGGCCTGAAGGGCAAAAATCCAACTGCTGGCTTTATTAGATACGGGCCTGATGTTGTTCAGATAAACTATCTGTAGGTGCCGCCGTCAATCAGAATTTCAATAGAATCCAAAGATGAAAGCATCCATGCATAAAAGGCAATGTGATAATTACGGTGTGCAGACAAGATAATGGAAAATATCCGAGCCTGCTTTTAATTTTATGTATCAAGTGCTGCCTTGACCTAGACATTCTATAATGCTCCATCACATTTACTAAGTTATGTTATCATTTTAATTATTTAGCAGAATTCAATTAATTTGGCAGGCATCTGGTCAACAGAAGCGAATCTTCCTCTTTTTAGTAACGTGAAGTCTTTTCCGTGTTTCGTTTCTCAGAATCCTGCTGCCACACCGTTTTGAGTAAATGTGCAACTGAGTTGAAAGTTCTGGTTCAGGTTTTAAGTTTAATTTCTTACTGGTTAAATCAATTATACAGAGAATTTACATCAGAACTTTGTGTGTGCCACTCAACACTATAAAATTTACTTTGGCTTCATTTTCAAACTTCTCTGGTGTGAAGTTAGTGCGAAATGGTGAAATAATTATTACTGAAAAGAGGATAGTTCAGCGTACACTTTTAGCCCGAAGTTCATGGCTTGTGTATGTGAGGATTACAGTAATCATCTTCAAGTTCTACCTTAATCTATTATCCAGTACCAGAACACATCCACCTCCACATTCATGACAATGGTGGTTGAACAAGGTTCAAGATTACAATTACGTTGTTATTACTACTATAATGTGTTACACTGTAAAATCACCAGGGCTTTCTCGTTATTAACCTGCCAAATTATAATAATGCTTCTGACGTGTGATACTGTCCTAATACTCTTCCACAATTTGGGGAAGGGTAACTTTCAGATGCCATTAACAATTTCTGCTCAGGATTATCCTGTCAAAGAATGGGGTTTCTCACTGTGTTCATTTCATCATGAAACAAAAGATCACTGGATGAGGGGACAGAGTTTCTCCCCTAATAGAATGAGATCTCTGGGTGATACAAACAATTTGCACTATTGTGGCGCTGTGGGTTAATGCGCCAGACTGCAAAGCCATTTAAACCGCAAGGATGGTGGTTCAAGCTCACCAGCTGCTCCTCGGAAACCCCATACAGGGTCGCTATGGGTCAGAACCAACTCAACGGCACATAACAACAACAATGACAACTAACTTACAGGAGTCCTGGGGTGAAGCTGTACAATAAGTCCTGGACCACAAAGTCTGTTTGAACTGTGAGGCTGATGGTTCAAACTCACCAGCCGCTCTTTGGAAACCCTATATAAGGTCGCTATGAGTTGAAACCAACTCGACAGCACTTAACAACAACAACTAGCCTAAAAGTTGGGGGTTCAAGTCTACCCAACTACCCAAGAAGAATGGCTTGGCCCTCTACTTCAGTGGAGCGGCTCTCCAGAGTTGAATCAACAGTTACAGACTTCTGGTTTGAGCAACACACGGCAAAGCCAGCATTATCGGCAGTTCACCGATAATGCTGCTCACAGAGAATTCCAACCTAGATAAAAGCAGGGTGCCTTGCTCCTTAGTTGTCACCCAGATGGGACGGACTTCAGGATCCCCTGAAAGTAAACACTTCGCAGCCTACTGCTTTCGTGGGAGTGGAAGCTAGCAACGGCAGGACAAGGGTAGTAGGGTGCAAACCTGCTTCTCCTCCCAGGACAAAGAAGACATGGCAGGCCTAGTCTGGAACAGAGTGAAACCATCCATAAAGCATCCAGAAGAATTCTGCACCTGGGTCCAAGATGGTCAGCAGTCATCTGTGCCTTAGTCACCAGTGACTGTCACCTTAATACTTACAAAAGATCACCGACACACCCAGTGGGCACAGAGGAATGGGGAGTCAGCATGTGATGGAACAGCCGCCTCTCTCCCACTGAGGGATGGCATACCAACCAGGAGAGGAGGCCCAGAAACCCCACAGCCTAACAAGAGTAAGTGCAATCACATGGTGAAGCTAAGCTGCCAACTACGATAACCGTAAAGATTGCACAGCAGGGGACAGCATGCACAAATTAAGATGGAAAAATTAAAACTGTTCAATCAGAGAACTACTAAAAAGCCAGGAGCTTGAAAAGAATAAAACTAACAGAGTGACAAGTTAACCCAGAAACACCTCAAAACCAAAGAACCTATCCAGGTAAGAAGCACCGAAAGGAAACTTACCATGAGCTAGTCTTTCCAGACGTTTCCCATGCTCCGGGGGGATAGCGTACCTAAAATTGTAAATACACACAAAAATGTTAGCGTGATAATCCTTCAGTAAGGTTCCTAAGGATTTCTGTTCCTACATAATGTCGCATATGAAATAGTTCAAAAAACTCCGCGTGGATGAACCGAGTAGAAATCAGAAAAATGATTGGTCATGTTTTAGACATGACTGGAAAAAAATAATAAACTTCTAGTTTATTATTTCAACGTCCCACTGTGGTGCTGTGGGTTAATGTGTTGAATCACAAGGTCTGTGGCTCAAGTTCACCAGCTGCTCCTCAAAAAGCCTATACAGGGTCACTATGGGTCAGAACCGACTCAATGGTACTCACCAACAACAAGTACTACTGGTCCAACCACATTTTACAGATTTGAGAACAAAGGCCCCAAACAATAAACCATTGTAGCCAGACAACGAGTTCCTAACCCCCAAAAGAGAGTGGGGAACCTCTCCCCAATATCATGGCACCCAAGACTCCTGGACTCTTTCTGTTCTATGTTTTTACTTTGTGATTGGTTAGCTGTGGCTACTTGTAAGCAGAACAGGTGAACTAATGCTCAGTTTCACACTTAAGACATTTTTATTGACAATGAAAAGCCATCATTCCAGCACTTAATTCTCCACAATTTCAAACAGACTTTATATTTTTTAAATTACCAGCCTCTACCAGACGTCTTTACTTATTTCATGATCATATGGCTTCTAAAATCTTGATTATAGTAAAAATAACTTTTACTCTAAAAGAATACAAACAATCATTTCACATTCCTGATGTTTATTACAAGTCACTGGAATATTTTACTGTATGTAAACTTCCTAACAAAAATGTAAAACTATGGTCTCAAAATATTTTATACAAGCACTAAGCCTTATGGTCATTTTTCATGAGAAAACAGAAGGGTCTCGGGAAAAAATATAATGAATCATTTTCCTACTGTAAGAAAACATAATGTTATTTTTTAGAATCTGCATTTACTATGTTTCCTAGCTCTGTATATATTAAGTACAAGTTACTTTTTACTAAAATAACTTATCTAATTTTACTTAGCAGCACACTTGGTTGCATTTAGTGGCACTGATAACATATGCAAAAGTTAATTGGATCCGTGTAACTAAGCATTTCACTAAAAGAAAATCCAACCATATATCCTGTTCCTTAAAGCACTGTTAATGAAATTATTCCAACTGAATTGAAGAGATAAAATTTTCGCATAACTAAATGACAGCCAGACAATGTATATTTATGGCCACATTTACCATTTTTAAGCCCTGCTTTACATCACCAAGCAAAGCCAGAAACGATAAAAGCATATCCTGTGTGCATAAGTGTCACACAGCTCCTCCAGCAGGTCCTCAGAGGAGACCCACATGTGTGCAATTGGCATGAATATGCACACAAACACAGACACAGTAGGTACATGCCTGCCCAGAGAGGGCTAGACATGGATGGAGATATTTAAATGCATGAATCTGCTTTTTCTGAAAATATAGCATGAAAGTTAAATTTAACATCTGTCTGCAGTTCAACTAGTGTTTCACAGGAAACTTAAGTCTGTTCGTCTCAAAAGAAGGGAGGGAAAGGTAAGACACAAGGTGGATCTAGCCCAACTCTGACCCTCCTCTACCCAACGCTTTTAAAATCTGAATCAGACACTTCAGCCCCCTGTTTCCCGATCTTGGTGGCCCTCAGCATTACTGATGCTAGGTTACATAACTGTTACGTGGTATGCACACATCTTCTAAAGCACAGGGCAGATGAATCCATTGCACATAGGTGAGCAGTTCTCCACACACACAAAGTGGCCGTGAGTCACAAGTGACTCAGGGGCAACCAACTACCTCTTAGACGCAATTCTCATCTAAGGACTTTCTGTATAGGAAGTCCCGGATAGGACTTCCCGTCTGCCTGTCTGCCTGCCTGGCTGGCTGGCCTCTCTTTCCCATCAGCTTTTAGACAGGATCATCTCCTCTGACTTAGAAACCCTTCTGAGTCCCTCATTCCGCTCCAACAACTACTCCGTTCTTCTCATGACTGCGCACACAGTCTCCTCCACAGACTGGGTCCCAAGTACCCTTCCTGCCCACTGCAATCTGCACCATTTCTATCTCTCTCCAAAGAACTGCTTCCACAAAGGTTCCCACGTGCTCTCATCCTTACTTCTGCTGTGGCGTTGTGGGAGTTTAGTTTCAGAGCATGCGAGGGAAGGAAGAATCCCCACTGAATAGTTTTCATCCTGTTTAGATGAGGCTTATCAATGGAGAAAAGACTGAAGTTGTCAAGGATTTCATTCTTCTTGATCAACCATCAACACTCATGGAAGCAGCAGTCAAGAAATCAAATGACGTATTGCATTAGGCTAATATGCTGCACAAGACCTTTTTAAAATGTTGAAGAGCAAAGATGTCAGCTTGAGGACTAAGGTGC